TTATTGTCCCGCCCGCAACGGAGGTCACTGTGGTCTTAGCATTACTGTTACCGGGGATATTTGACCGCTGCAGGTGTAGGGACATTATTTATTACCTGGTTAACTGCCGTACACTATCTAATGCTAAATTGATCGTTTTATTTGGGTAAACTGGGTTGCAGTAATAGTTCCTACTAAAAGTACGTATTAAAAAAAAAAAACTTCTTAGAATATAAAAGTAGTGAATGTGACCTTTGACCTTGTAACCGCCAATATCTGGATTCCATCAAACTTTGACTACGGTGTAATGTTATCGATGACAATACTAGATAATAACATATTCAATAATCTTATAAAGAAAAAGGAAGGCAAATGAAACAGAACTGAAACTCGTCTGATATGAAAAGCTTTTCTTTTCTGTGCGTCATTCTCCAAGGATATACTTTATACACCTCTCTCTCTCTCTCTCTCTCTCTCTCTCTCTCTCTCTCTCTCTCTCTCTCTCTCTCTCTCTCTCTCTCTCTCTCTCACACACACACACACACACACACACACACATACACACACAAGCACGCATGCACATACTCATGTCAGGAGACGTTTAAAACAAGCATTGTGCTATATTAGGTGACTCTTGGATGTTCAAATCATTAGGTACGACTAATTAGACGAGTGTTGAATTACTTGACATCAAATATAATTAGCAACAGTTGTTGATTTTTCCATGTTTTTTCATGCCTTAATAAGAAGGTATGAACCTGAAAATAAAATTCTGTCCCTATATGTCAGTGGTTCTTTTTATTAGTTATTGTGATACCCTGGTAATTTGCACTCTTTGTTCACACCCTTCTCATACTGATAAAGAGGAGTTACAGTATTGCTTCAAACAGATACAATTTGTCATTCGGATACAGGGGTATCAGGATAAAAAGAGGCTGGATATATTAAGCTTGTTATCAATAATAATAATAATAATAATAATAATAATAATAATAATAATAATAATAATAATATCATCATCATTATCATCATCATCATCATCATCATCATCATCATCATCATCATCATCATCCCTGTCGTTGTCTTCACCAGCAGAAATTATTGACATTATCGTCATCTTCATCATCATCAACTTTATAGCAAGGGACTGAGCGTTCAAATGTTCATCTAAGCAGTGTACACAGTTATCATTTTAGCACCATAAGTCTCAAATCTTTGTGTGCGTGTGTGTGTGTGCGTGTGTGTGTATGTGTGTGTGTGTGTGTGTGTGTGTGTTATAGCCTCGAGAAAGTTCCAGTCGTTTTCTCTCGGGCCATTTTAGTGAGATAATGGATTTAGAAAACTTTAAAATTCCGAGTCCAGTTATGGTTAACTTTCAAGAGTACATTCGCATTCTATACCTTTAGCTAGCGAGGTGCGTTCTGCGACGGCAGTGTTTGAAAATTGGTTGACTATTACGTTTTGAACTGAAGCATGTAAACGTGGATAGTTCTAACGAAAATAACAGAATGTTACAGTGTCAATAGAAATCCATAGTTCAAAATAGTGTGTCCTTTTGCGGTTTTCAATTAAATTGTATTATTCCTTTAAGATCACCGTCCCTTCAAATGAACAATGCAGTGAGAATATACAGTACAGGTTTGTAACATCTATACATCGTTGAACACAAAAAACCTAATATTTAAATAAATCATACTATCCTCGCATACAGACATGGGGGGTGTTTTGGTGTTCTGATCCACAAACGTGGCTTGCCTTGTATTTCGTTTGTATTACCAGGTTAAGAAACGGATTCCACTTTAAAAAAAAAACAAAAAAAACCCCACCCGAAACAAAGTCACCAAAACATCAGATTGGCAATTTAGGTCAAAACATATTTTTTTAACGAAAGTCTAAAAACATATCCTTGATAAGCAGTCTTCGCCTGAGCTTTTGTTGTTGCTGTTGTTGTTGGGCTTAACGCCATTTTTCAGCACTCTATAGGCTATTCATGGCGGCCAGTATTAATGGTGGAGGAAGAAACCGGGAAATAACCGGAAAGAACCACCGATCCACGAGAAGCTACTGGCAAGCTTTCTCACATATCCACATTCGCCGAATCCTAGACTCGAACCTACGCAGACAGAGGTGAGATGGCATTGATCCGTAACGGACAGCGCTTTAACCACTTGGCCACTAGGGCCCCTTTGTCAGAGCAAATTTGAGGATGCAAGTGTTTAGTGTAAGGGAGGCAACTTCTTAATCAGCCTCTCAGTAACGAGAGAAGCAATACTTCTACGATAGAAATAACTGAAATAATATTACATGCTCTTACCTACATCCAACAGTCTTACAGAGCTGTCGAGACGTGAGATAGATTAATTGTTTGTTCTCTTTTCCTCTATTAGTATTTGTTTCTTCATTCTGTCATCAGAGTGTAATTATCATTACCTGTTTCTCGTTCTCTTATTACAGCTGGGATGAAGCCAACAAAAACGCATCCACCGCCGCCTCTGCAAACATGATGGTTTTCGCTTCCTTCTCTAGCATTCCAGGAAATATGAATAATTTCAGGTCGGAGCGTCGCAGATCACAGAGACTCTATCCAGGTAAAAGAGAGAATGTCTGGATTAGCTTTTAACGGCACATCAGAACAGTGGTGGCCAGAGAGAGAGAGAGAGAGAGAGAGAGAGAGAGAGAGAGAGAGAGAGAGAGAGAGAGAGAGAGAGAGAGAGAGAGAGAGAGAGAGAGAGAGAGAGAGAGAGAGAGAGAGAGAGAGAGAGAGAGAGAGAGAGAGAGAGAGAGAGAGAGAGAGAGAGAGAGAGAGAGAGAGAGAGAGAGAGAGAGAGAGAGAGAGAGAGAGAGAGAGAGAGAGAGAGAGAGAGAGAGAGAGAGAGAGAGAGAGAGAGAGAGAGAGAGTTATGTGCAAAACAAACACACATCATTTTCGTTTTTATTACCTGTAGAACTACAACCCAAAAAGCATGTAATATTTCAAACATTTTACGCAAACAAATGATTTCAGCGTATGTATAAGGACAAAATTAAATGGGTCAAATATGAATATCATATATTGCTTAGCTTTGTCTTTTCTTATTCTAAAGATCTTGAAAAACCTGGTTTAGTTTTGTTGGGTTTAGGAATATTTTTCAGCACATCATGCGCACGATATGGCGGCCAGTATATTTGGTGGATGAAGAACCTAGGTAGACCGATAAAAGAACCCCACATTCCCACGTTAGTCGAACCGAGACTCTCGCATAAACAAATATTGCTTGTAAAAAGTGTAATTCTGACAAATTCAATGAAAGATAGAGTTAGTATTTAAATTAGTGTCGGGTCTTAATTTTTGTATTCGTACGGCTGGTATAGAATAGTTCTTGCTATTTTTACAGCTGGCTCTTTTTGTACGGCTGGCGCGGGAGAAGACTCGTCTTGCTTTTTTGTACGACTGAGATGGGATGTCTCATTTTGCTTTCAAAGCGTCTGAGTTTTTTGTACGACGGGGATACTTCTTTTTTTTTACGGATGAGATGGGGTAACTCTTCTTCCACTTTGTACGGCTGGCATAGTGGTCTGGATATGTGTCCGTCTGGTATTTATTTTTGGATAAAGCAGTTTTAGGCTAGTATCACCTTTTTCTATCGGTTGATTATAATAAACTTTATTCCGGGAAAAGGAACGTCCCAAGAGATTGAAGATGTTAAAAGGTGGTTCGGATGGGTGGGTTAAAGGGTATGGTTTATGTCACAGGTATTAATATTGACTATTTAAAGACGAATAAGAATCAGTATTGACTATTGTCAATGACGAATACGTATCAGTATTGACTATCGCCATAGACGAATAGGTATCAGTATTTAATATTGCCAATAAAGAATATGTATCAGTATTGACTATTGCCAATGACGAATATGTATCAGTATTGACTATTGCCATAGACTAATAGGTATCAGTATTTAATATTGCCAATGAAGAATATGTATTAGTATTGACTATTGCCAATGACGAATATGTATCAGTATTGATTATTGCCATAGACGAATAGGTATCAGTATTGACTATTGCCAAAAACGAATAAGTACCAGTATTGACTATTGACAAAGTCGAATAAGTATCAGTATTGACCATTGTCAATGACGAAAAGGTATCAGTATTGAATATTGCCAATAACGAATAGTCAGCAAACAATTCACATACATTTACAACGCAATGTCCAAGAACTTAAAGAACTTGGAAGTCATTGGTTTAAAGGTAACGTTCACACTGGTTAGTACGATAGTGTTTTGCGAAGAAACGCTTATGTCGTGTATTCATGCGTGTCTTTCAGACTTTGATCTTGACTCACTAAGAGTAAATACATGAACCTTGGCAGTCATGGATCACGGGAGGTGGCATACGTTACAGTTACGGGGTGAATTAAATTTAGTTTTGGGGGTAAACTATCTAAAAATTTAGAAGTGTTTTATCTTATCTTAGCAAAATAGAATTGATATCAGCATTGGCACCTATGTTTAGCGGAACATACCTAGACTTTAAGGATCTTGGTCACACGTCATTCGCAAGCGTTGCATGTTTTAAGCAGAAAATAAAATCCTTTTCTAATTTATACAAAGCGTGTAATTTTGCTCCGTCCCACCCCCCTCCGCCATGAATTTCTTCGATAGCCCTTTTTATCACTGTAGCTACATTGGAATTTATAGTTCTTAACATATTTGAACGCACTTCGTTACACTGTGTAATGTTTACCATTTTGCGAATCTCGCTCAGACGAAATTTACCGCTTGTTAATTTACCTCCACAATATATTACGATCTTCAGTAAATTTGTGTTTTCCTGGCAATGAACTTCAGTAATTTTTTGTTTTATATACAAATTTACACATACATACATACATACATACATACATACATACATACATACATACATACATACATACATACATACATACATACATACATACATACATACATACATACATACATACATACATACATAAGTCAAACCATATGAACAGATAGGCAGACAGTGAAAAGATATATGGCCGCTCCGGTTGCCTAGTGATTAGAGCGTCCGCCTCATATGCGGGAGGTCGTCGGTCGGTTCGATCCCCTGTCGAGTCATACCAAAGACTTAAAAAATGGTACTAACAGCTGCCTCGCCTGGCGCTCAGGATTAAAAGGTTAGTGTTAGAACTGGTCGGCCTGGTGTCGGGATAATGTGACTGGGTGGGACATAATGCTACATGTCTGCGGCATGACGCCCTAGTGCTAGACATCACTATAAACTGCCATACTACAGACATCGTATCGATATGACTGAATTTTTTTTAAAAAAAACTACGTTAAAATCATAATCACATCACATAATCAAATAAAAAGATGCCGACAGAGGAATAGAAAATAAGACATAAAAATAGACTGAAGAATACCCTAACAAGATAGAAGAACATAAGTATTGAAAAAGTTGTATGCGAAATTCGCAATAAATATGTCTAATTGCTCGTGTTACGTTATGTGCATGTGGCGTGTATACTAAAGTGAGATACCCGTAAAACCGCATCGAGTTCGATAACATGTCCAAAGATACAACCAGGCATGTCCAGTGGCAAATGATGCAGCCAAAAATCATGTTTGATGACATGTCCTGTGTCAAACGATACTGCCAGAAATATAGGTTGATGACATCCTGTGTCAAATAATACAGCTAGAATGCATACAGGATGAAACGTGTCAAATATTGTCGGAAAACACGTTTGATTACGTTGCTTGTGCCAAACGATAGTCATAAATTATGTTTCTTTGATTGCCGTATCATGATCCGTTACTGAAGCAGAAAGACAGACAGACAGACAGACCGACAGACAGACCGACAGACAACATTAATAGTCCATGAAAACTATCTGCTCCATGTGCCCATTGATATAAGTGTTAAATGAGTGTGTACGGTACTGAAGAAATCTTTGGCGGTTTCACATACATCCAATATGTCATCGAGCCACTTGAGACGAAAATTCCACATTCAAGCCTAGAAGATTAAACAACTTGAAACTCTTTTTACATGGGTGGCTTAGTCTTAACAACTTCTTATAAATGCCTTTTTTATTCCATTATGTATGTATGTATGTATGTATGTATGTATGTATGTATGTATGTATGTATGTATGTATATGTATGTATGTATGTATGTATATATTTATATTTATATATATATATATATATATATATATATATATATATATATATATATATATATATATATATATATATATATATAGATATATTTAAAAAGTGAACAAATTTGGTTTATTTTTTACCTTTGCTGATTTAGCACATCAATCTTTTTTGATACACTCCATAGGTAAAGAATTGTATGCACCACGTGGTAACAATTCTATACCTAGAATAAGGCATATACGTAAATCCAGTTTCTTTTTTCGGTTAAAGCGAACACTTTTCGCTCTTCACACTTTTGAGATTTACACTGATCATACGTGAAGGCACGGATCATAACATAGACTACTTGTTTCGCTTCTGAAGCTGAGATAGCTCTTAGTGGATTCTTACAGTGGAACCGCAAGTGATAAAGTTATAAATTATATATTAAAAATATATATACTTATATATTTCATATCGCCATGATTGAAAGTTTTAATGAAACAATAAATAAACAAATAAACAAAAACAAAATGCCGTTTGAATGTGTGGTCAAAAAATAATATTACAATGAAAATTTAAAAAAGCTTTCATCACGTATCTTTCGCATTGGCTATTAATGAACGTTGAACTTTGCAGACCTTTATAAACACTAACGCGGGTACTTTGACAGAACTTTTCTAAACACTAACGTGAATACATCAACAGGAACTTTCTAAACATTAATGGGAATATATCGATAGGACCTTTATACATTAATGTGGTTACGTGGACGGGTACCTCGATTTGACCATTCTAAACACTAATATGGGTACCTCGATTTGCCCATTCTAAACACTAATATGGGTACCTCGATTTGACCATTTTAAACACTAATATGGGTATCTCGATTTGACCATTCTAAACACTAATATGGGTACCTCGATGGGACCATTCTAAACACTAATATGGGTACCTCGATTTGACCATTCTAAACACTAATATGGGTACCTCGACGGGACCATTCTAAACACTAATATGGGTACCTCGATTTGACCATTCTAAACACTAATATGGGTACCTCGACGGGACCATTCTGAACACTAATATGGGTACCTCGACTGGACCATTCTAAAAACTAATATGGGTACCTCGATTTGACCATTCTAAACAATAATATAGGTACCTCAACGGGACCATTCTAAACACAATATAATATGGGTACCTCGGCGGGACCTTAAGATTTATAATGGGAACATAAAAGTGAACACTATGTAAATTAAAACTCAAACAGGCCCAATTAGAGAAACCTAATGTGCGTTACAATTATTATTAAATCATGCCTTCATATGGGCTTCGCAAGTTGTGTATACGTGTTGCCCATCTGTTACTAAAATACGATCTTTAGTGTTATACATAAATGTTGTTCATCCGTTACTGTAATAAGATCTTTAATGTTATACATAAGTGTTGCCGATCTGTGATTATAATAAGATCTTTAGTGTTATACATTAGGGTTACCTATTCCTTACTGTAATAACTGTAATAACTTAGAATTTTACGTAAGGGTTTCCCATATGTTACTTTAATAAGATCTTTAGTGTTATATATACAGGATGTTCATCTGTTACTGTAATAATATCTATAGTGTTTTAGGTAGTGGTTGCCCATCTATTAATGTAATAAGATCTGTAGTGTGATACATTAGGGTTGCCCATCCGTTACAGATTATCGGGCCAATAGGCCTAATGCCGGCCTTACATGACGTGAGGGATGGCCATAAGTTACGGTAATGAGATATTTAGTGTTGTACGTTAGAGTTGGCCATCTATTAATGTAATAAGATCTGTAGTGTGATACACTAGGGTTGCCCATCCGTTACAGATTATCGGTTCAATAGGCCTAAAGCCGGCCTTACATGACAGGAGGGATGGCCGTAAGTTACTGTAATAAGATATTTAGTGTGATACGTTAGGGTTGGCCATCTATTAATGTAATAAGATCTGTAGTGTGATACACTAGGGTTGCCCATCCGTTACAGATTATCGGTCCAATAGGCCGGCCCTGCATGAGGGTTGGCCATAAGTTACTGTAATAAGATATTTAGTGTTATACTTTAGGGTTGGCCATCTGTTAATGTAATAATATCGTTAATGTTACATATAAGTGTTGCTCGTCTGTTAATTCAACAAGATCTTTAGTTCTATAGATTGGGATTACACATCTGTTACTGTAATAAGATCTTTCGTGCAAAAAAAGTTGTCTTTTTTGATGTTTACTTGCATGTATATGGTAAACAGTCAAAAGAAACTGATTTATATGTTGACATACCGATCTTGTTGGTTTAATCGCTACTTTCTGTTGGCTTCAGAGATTTATTGTGGTATTTTTGAGATGCACTGATCATATTCGCAGATAAACAAGGAATGTTTCTGTTTACATGTTGTTAATGGTACTCGTCAGCCGTTCGACATTTAAAGATACCGGCTCGTGAGTTTGCGGATAGGTGATTAAGCAGGAAGGTTGCAGTATATGGTGGCGAATATTGAAAATAAAAAGACTTTTTCATTGTGATAAAATTTATTACATTCAAGAAAGCAATATTAGTAGCACTTGTATTTTTTTTAAATCCTGGCACAAATATTGAAATTTAAATTAGATGATTTTATTTCTCCGGGACTATATATATATATATATATATATATATATATATATATATATATATATATATATATATATATATATATATATATATATATATATATATATATATATATATATATATATTTTACATCAAGCAACTTGTGTAGGGATATCACAAAACCAAAGGAACAACAATCAAAATTTTATAGCGATACGTACCAACCCACTGACATGATACGGAAAACTAAATATTGGCTTTCACGGACACAGAAAACTCGTTATTATATAAAAAGTTGATATTCAATATAATTTACTCACATATTGGTAAATAAATCTGTCATAGCGTAAATGGGTCACTAAACACAGCGTGGGCGTCTACCATATAGACTGATTTGGAAACGTTTATTTTTTTTTTTTAATTCTAAATTCGATAGAGGACAATGAAAATAATTTGGATTGGTTGGACCTTATACACAAGTTACATTGACGTTATACACACATTACAATACGGTGATTTATTTCGGATTTATTTGGCCGATGATACATGTTAATGATTTCTTCTCGCAAAAAGTCTGCCTTCAGGACACCAGTCGATTTCGCTGACGTATATTTACACATTAACATTGAAAATTATACTTATGCAGGAGAAGAAAATACAACTCTGCACATCATAAATAATGGCACAAAGCAATACTTTCTTGAATTCAACCTTTTATTGGAAAGAGAAGGAGAAAATCAACATTGTCGGTGTACAAAATGATGCCAATTTTAAGGGATAAGTTCTCTTACTAGACCAGAAAATAGTTATAAGAAAGATTTAAAAATGAAACACTTCAACTTACTCAAAGCTATGTATGTAGGATAAAAGTTTTTTTTTTATTTTTTTTATTTTTAAATAATAAGGTAGAATATGAATATTTCACTTAAAATGGGATCAGAAAAGTGTTGAGTATTTAATTAAATCGAAGAGATTACAGATCAACAGACACTGCTGGTGGAAAAAGCAAGGACGAAAACAGATTAGAAGTATGGCCCAGTCTCTTCAACTATTTGAAAACTGATACGTTTGGAAATCCTGGATTTAAAATGGGTAAAAGGGTCGAAATTTCAAAATACAAAGCAATTTTGAATTTGAGTAATCTCCTTTCTATACTAAGGAAATATTGAAAATTAGCCCATCCATTTACAATTGAAGGACTTACATGGATATAATTCAGAAGGCATTATTTTCCGAACACGTGTTACAAGTAAACGAAAAGAAGGTAGCATATTGAAAGACTAAAAATTATTTTTGAAGTATGAACAAATGATAGCTAAAGTCTGTGCACGTGTAAATTAAAATAATA